TTGATATTTACTGGCACTACGGGCTGCGAAAACTCGAGCGGAAAATCTTTCCTCTCCGCGTGACGAGGTAAGAAAGAAGCTGATTTTCCACGGCGTCTTTTCGCCCTGTTCGTACCTCCGCATTCATGGTGCGCGTCAAACTTTCTCGGATAATTTTTGCATAGTTTACCGACCGAAACTTCCACGAAACTCCGTTAATTGTGGAGCGAACGCGGTAAAGGATTAGTTTCGGAGGATTTTTTTTCGGAGCGTCTGTCTTTGACCGACGTTTTAATAGCGATAGTGATAAAATATTAAATCCGCGAAGGATTTACATTGTAAAATGGAATAACAAGGCGCAGCTAATTCACACGCAAATGTAACGGACACTCTTCGTTATTAACAGAATAACATGCAATCCATCTCAGTACTTCCCGCGCAATAAATGTTATACATTTATACGGATGCGGGAGTCCCTCCTGCGGAATGGCATTCCGACGGAAAAACGTAATTATTCCTAATATCTATGCGTGCCACCATTAATATAAATTCCGCGCTTCGCGCGAACCGCAACAGAGTATCCTCCGTGAAATAAAGATAAATGATTGCCGGCACGCAATATACCTGGCGTATCGGAAAAATCATTAAGAGCTGAAGAAACACGTTGCGCGTTCGTGCTCCGTTGATTCGAACGATTGTCCTTCGAAATGCATTGCGGAATCAAACGCGGGGCGAACAGCGGGAAAGAAGAAATTTATTTATTCATCCGCAGAAATGAAAGGGAGGCAACAAAGAAGTAGAAACGACGATATATCCGGAGGAACGATAAAATTAAATAAGATTAATGATATACCTGAAATTGAAGAAGGAAGAAATAAAGTTTTCAACTTGGAAACGATTCTGCCTTGATAAATATGATGAAGTGTCAGTAGATAGATCATTCGAGAACTGAAAAGTGAGCGGACAAATATTTGCAGAATTAAGTTATTGCGCGTGTGAAACCGCGGCACGAAGGACAGGCACCGGCGATCTCCTCGGGACGGAAGGGCCAGTCATGATCCGTCACTAACGACTAATGTCGGCAATTTGCGTCGACGCCAGGGGACGCGCCGAGAGAGCGACGCATGCACGTCATTCGACGTGATTTATACGACGTGTTCCGTTATAATACCGGCAGCCTATAATGCAACGCTATAGGGCCGGAAGTGCGGGAAGTGCCAGGAGGAGGTGCACACCACGTGGTAATCAACATGAGCTACTGGCCGATGATCCCTAACCACTAATGGATCGTGTCAGGCGGAGATGCGATATCGATTATTCCGATGAGCGCGGCCGATAATATAACAGAGAACACGATCTGATCAGGCGCGATACTTCAGTAGTATAAATTATTCCGGTGTGGAATTTATAGTTTTCGATACAATTAGAATTTATAGTTACAGATTGATGTGATAAATTGCATAATTTTGCAAGATCATTGTGATTTAACATCCACGCGAGATACACATTTTCAACGCGCTGTTGATATTTTAGTGCTGTTTCGTGATTAAGTAAAGATCTAATACGCTTTGATGCAAACTCATAAGCATAATGACTAGGGTGCAACATGGGAAAATACGGCGTGTTGAAGGAAGCCGAAATGAAGGTCTTGATGGACCTGGGATTTCGACGGCTTGGGATAATACGGAATAGCATATTTTCCCGTGGGAAAGCGTGCTTGCAACTCGAGTTTCAAATTTCAGGCGACGATCGGAGTCCTGATTTGCCTCGCGTAAAACGGATCTCGGGATGACTCGTACAGATAAGCATGCCGTGATGCTACAATTCTCATTATCAAGAACAAAATTATGTTACTGCAAATAATAAGCACCCCACCCTGCTGTCGCGCGCTATCGCGAAATTTCGGTCGAGAAAATGAGAAACGCGGAAATCATTGAAAGCAATCTCAATAATTTAAAATAATCATTGAAAGTTTAATGACGAATTCGTTCGAGAGAACGCGAAGGAGAAGAGCGGTGAATTTAAAATTCCGTCGCGGATGCCAAGAGATGAAGTATACATTGCAGCGCGTAAGGGCATCTTTCATGTAGCCATCGTAAAAAGAAAATGGAGTTTTATCGGTTTAATAACATCTCTATCGTCACTCTCGTGTATCGCGTTCGATCTAACTAGCAACGCGAACCGTTTTTTTTTTTTACGGTGATTGCATAAAAAGTGGTTATATCTCTCCGCGTATTTGTATACATCCGCATGCCTGTATGTGGTATGCGCACTAATCCGAAAGAAATGAATACCAAAACCGATATCCGCCCGCGTATTGATGAACACCCGAGAAATTCGCCGAGCCGTCCAGGAATTCGCGTCTCGCCATGAATCTCCCTATTCACGAGAGACTGTCATTTTCCCGGGCTGGCGCGAGATTTTTCCGCGGCGGCGAGAAAAGCAAACAGTTCTCCGGGAGCCACGGCGGAAATATGATTCCCGCGTCGACGCGACGTCGTCTCGCAAAAACGCTTGGCTTCATTTCGCTGGATCATGCGGCACCCCTTTCGCCTGATTTACCGCCAAGGCCAAGGGGAGAAACGCGCGTCCAAGGGAGAAGACAGGGTGGCATTAGGGGGAGGAGGAGGAGAACAGAGGTGACGAGACAAGAAGAAGGAAACGAAGAGGTGAGACGAAAAGAGAGAGAAGGGTAATCGACGGCAGACGGCGACTTCCGGAAGATTACACGAGCCGGAGGCTGCAGTTTACTCCATTTGGCAAGCTCGATATTCACCGGCCGCCCATCCCTCGACCCAATCTCTCCTCTTTCTCTCTCTCTCTTCCTCCCTCCCGCCGTCCCCCGACCATCGGCGAATGAAATACGCCCTCGCCTGAATTTCAAACGGCGCTGCAAATCGAATCAGGCCCGCTATGAATCTTCCGGCGGGGCCGTGGCGGAGGAACGAGACCGGTGAAGTTTTGAAGGAGGAGGCGATGGTTGTGTTTGCACATTCGAAAGACAAGGGTGATTTAAAAGGTCGGCGGCCAACGGGGACTAATCAACCCCCCGTTGAATGAATAATGTGCACCGAAGTAGCGGCATCTGGGAAGGGGAAGTAGCAACGTGAGGTCGTGTCGCACCTCGGCTAAAATCCGTCTGGATTCAGAACGTCGAGATTATTCCAGTAATGCGCGCGAGATTGTCAAAATCTATAATGCGCATCTATAATTCTGTACAACGATATAATAAATGATCGGTCGTATATTGACGAGGGCGCGGATTAACGGGATTAATCCTTTGACAGCGCGATGTCACAATTAAATGCGACGGTACAGTTAATTGTGCCGGTGTTCGGATTTGCGCGACGGTTAGCGAATATTTTGCGCCGCGTTATGTTTACGCGCACAAAGAGAGACAGATATATTTGCGTATGCGTGTAAAGGCAGCGTGTACCGCTCCCGCGAGCGGAGTTTAACTTTCACGCCACGAGGTAATTATTTTAAGCTTCCCGACTATTGGAATTTAGCGTCCATGTCGCGCGGTGCGCTCGAGATACCGTGCGAATTAACATCACTGTCATTGTAATCCGTACGAAATTGTGTGCGCTGTCCGGATGAAGTAATATGGTTTCGCTGTATCTCTTCATCCGCGCAAATAAAATGATTAAATCAAATTCAGCGCGGTCGGAAAATTATTATTATCGCGGAGAAGAGTACCGCGAATAAAGAATTGCGAAAAAGCTCCTCGAGAAGGAAAAATCTCGTAAACGGACAAGTTTATAGACGACGGTATGTCAATTAGACACGGAAGACAAGATCTAAGAGCGATGTCACTAATCGCTTAGAATTAGATGAATCATTAAAGTTCCGGCAAACTTCTCTCGAGAGGCGATTGGATTAGTTTCGCGGCAAATTGGACGAGACCGCTCGACGGCGCGGAAGCGAGCGAGCGTAGAAGGAAGCCGAGATGACGCGATTTCCTATGTATATTACGGATCGATTCTCGGGCGCACGGGAAAGTTCGCGCGGGCCGTACGTTTCCGGATCTGTTACGCTGCGATGTAGGAATTCGGGTCCGTTTAAAGATAATAATTGTCCAAGTTAACCGATCAAACGGTGATTAAGGAACGACACGTCGCGAACGTAATCGGCGATTGCAGATTAGTACATACTATCGAGGGTGACACCCCCCCTATCGTTAGCGCTAATGACTCAGGAGCAAATAATTATCCGTTATGTCTTCTTGCGCGCGTAATTTACGGGAGGTCGTCGCACAGCGGCGATATGAAACTGCAATTACGTCGTGATAAACTTCGAAATACGCGCCGCGCCGTCTTATGAGACATTTGTAATCCTGCGTCACGATTCGCGCTGCCGGCGGATTCGATTTCTGAACTTTTATTCTTTTCGCGGTTGCTGATGTGACTTCCGCGAAAATAATCGACGGGATAAATGTAGTCATTTATTACATTTATATATATATCATAGTCATTTATTACAGCGCTTCCGTGATGATTTAATTTATTCTCTAGTAACTGCGATTGGATATCGTGATATGAAGAACCGGTTTATAAGTAGTACAAACGGTAATTGATTAATATGCAAAATGCAGATCGTATAATATGGAAATTATTAATCGTGTCATATTATAAATAACGGAACAAATGTTTTCCAATGAGACATTGTTTGCGTTCAGTCATATGTAAATTTATTCTAATTTCACACCGAGAGAAAAATTTAAGTCACGTTCATATTAAACAAATAGCTAAAATTATTATATTATTATAATTCCGAGAAAAATTATTCGATCAAATAATTTAACTTATAAAAATTTTAATGTTAAAAAGCACACGATATTTTTACATTCTTTTGTAAATGTGTAAGCTGATATCAGCTAACATACTTTATCAGCCGAATGTGCTGTGTAAATTAAAGGGGACGCGAACACACGTGGCAATTGCAATTCTTCTCTCGGTCGCGTCTACTCGCTAACGATCTCCTTGTCCCGGCTACTTTTTTGCCGTCAACTTTCTACTTACGTGTCTCGTGTCGGCCGCGAGAAGAGGAGTGTGTGCCTGCAACAACCGAGCGTCGAGGAAATTAGAAGAGAGATCGCGTGACTTTTTGTTCTTTGCTAGGGAGCTTCATGCTTCCGGCAAGGCCATTCATCCCGCGCGTCTCGCGTCGGATTCCAAAAAAATGACCAAAATATCGCGGCATTGTTTCATCAAAGATATCGTTTACACGGTGACTTATACGAGCATTACGTCGGTAAAGTTTGCACCAAAGATTTACATTCACAAGCGCGTACCTTGATGAATTTTAATGAACGCGTGATGAATTCGTAATTATGAAAATTATCTAACACGATATAAAATTACGAGATACTCGCGAATTAAACTTTACGAATGCGGATAAATTAGTATTCACTACACGTGATTCTTACTTTAACTGGATTATAACGAAAGCTTAATATACAATATACGTGTAGCTTTGTTACCAAATTATAAAGATATGAACTGTTTCCAAATTCACCGCAGTATATGCTCGCATAATTTAATACAAATTTTGCAAAACGCTCAACATTGCACAAAATATATATATAGTCGTCCGAATTATTTTCTTTATACATTTATTACCGAATAAATCCGTTTTTTTTTCTTTCGCGAATAAAAATATGCCGAAAGCGATAACCGCAACTACGCGGGTGGTCGAAAATTTTTGGTCAACTTTTTGAAAGTGCAGCTTAGGAATCTTGAGAGGCGATTGTTCGTGAAGAACTGTGCACGCATGCTGTATAACATGCATTTACATTCGAGGAGGGATTTTACTCATGCAGGCTTAAGTAAAAAAAAAAAGATACGAAGAAACTGTTTGTCAGCAACTGCGCGGCGTTTTTGTTGACTCGGCTGAACGTTTAAGCTTGCGGGATTCAAATGCCTCTTTCATGATGCAAATTTGGACCCTTTACATACCAGGCGCTTATTAAACGCGGTGAGCTCATTAAAAGCGGAAGTTGACAATCGTACGAAATTCTCCGCTCCGCATAATTATCGCGACCGCGATAACTGAACGTCGCGCTGCAACGCGGCGAATTTCATCGTCGCGTCGTCGCTATCTTGATAATGCCGCGGAATAAACGGAAGATATTAAGATATACGTACTGCGCCGTATCGCGCAATGGCGGACATTAAAATATACGTTCGACGTAACATCAAGTCGAGCGTTAAGACGATCGCATTCGATGAAACTGTCGCATAGCAATTTCGAGTGCGCTCGTTATTCGCAAATGCACGTAAGTGAGATAATGTTCGATATCCTGTTCGCTAGATTAAAATATCTGCTTAATGCATTCAGTCGCAAACGAAAACAAACAGAAAAAGAAAAAGAAAAAAAAGATGGGAAGAGAACCATTGCTCGAAGAAGGAAACGGATGCGAGCGTTATTTTCATTCGATTAAACCCAAGGAGAGAAACGCACGCCGTGCTCGCTTTTCCAATGAAATGCCGGATGGCTGTACGGCAGGATTTCCTGATTATTTTCGCTTGTACGAGCCCTGGGACATCTGCGGGCAAGTAATCCTCGTTGTAAATCTAATGCCCTCTCGAGCTTTCGACGACGAAAAAAAAAAAAGGCGAGATGTCTCAATGTAAAAAGAACACAATAGGAAATATTTCTTCTCTTTTGCTCGATTAGCATGCAACTTTGGACGAGACTGTACTTGCCAGCGTTTTATAAATTAGATATCGACATTCGTAGCTTTAGAAAAACGAACATATTGCCTCGCACGATACGTAACATGTGTGATCGTAACATATGTCGGCCTTAGATGCAACCTTGTACTTATAATTCGAAAGAGAGAGAGAAAAAAACAGAACTGAAAACTGGAAATAAGAAACTGGTTTGTTCAATCATTTTTCTAATGACTCGAACTGTTTATGCTCAAGGTAGCGAATTAATTTGCATTTTAATTATGCATTTGATATATGCTAATTTCCCTTAATTTTCTCGGTTTTACTCGAATCACGCTCTCATCAGAAATCTCCTTCGGAGGAATTGTTAAACGAGAGGATCGTAAGCAAAAGATTAACGGCGTTATTATAAGATTGTAACCAGAGACACTGCGAGATATTGCACCCATTCCCTCCAATTACATTACATAATCCATTAGCTTAAGTATGAATTCTCGGAGACGCAGAAGGAGAGATACTGGATTATTAATCGACACGGTCGTTACGTTAACGGCGCGCTATTTTTCCCGAAATTCTTACCGGCGGAATGGCGGCCCTTAATTTTCCGAGGTCAAACGCGGGAAGTGGCCGGCGTGTACGGCAAAATTGAATTTCATATTTCGCTGCGCATCGTGAATCGAGCTTCCGGCTACCGCCTTGACGTCCCCTCGTAATTAATTGCCATTCAGGCCTACCTCGCTGTAATATACGCGCCTCGGCGGAAAAAAATTTGCCGGGCGGGGAAAGCGAGCAAAATCAACGTCCTAATTTCCCTTTCTTGTTTCGCTCTTAGCGCGATACGATGATAGCCGCGCTCCGTTTCCGTGCGGAATCCGAAAGGAGAAGCGCGTTAATGAAGACGAATCGTCGCGATTAGCTCAATCGCGAAAAGTTTTTCCCGATGAATAAACGGCGGGATCGCGTGATCGCTTTAATTTGTTCTAGTTAGCTACGCGGGAAGATTAATAACGGGTTCGTTGCACCGTAAACGCGACCGGCTTAGATCGTGGATCGTAGTGAAATAATTAAGTAACCTCTCATTTGCCGGCAAAACGAGTTTAATCTATGCAAAACGTGCAGACATTTATGAACGCGATATATATTGTTATTTATTGCTATATATTGTAATCGACAAAATAAATCTTAAATCTTCTGGAATTGTGAATTTAGTCGTGATATTAAATTTTTTATGAGTAATATTATTCCGGTTATTGTTTCGGCAAAAGTTCGAGTTTGACATCATAAAGCGCTTTAGTATCCGGGATACTAAATTTTTATTCGGAAAAAAAAGGAGCATGGGGGAAACAGGGCGTGTTAAAACAAAATGCGACGCGGTTCTTTTTTTTATGTACGCCGGACACGAAAGAGAGCGTTCGGTTTTCCCACTATCATTTCTTTATTTTGTTTTACACACAACAGCACTATCATGTTCCCGAGTTAAAGCGCGAGGCCTTTTTTCACGGGAAAATCGGGAGATTGAATTTTCGCTAGCGAGTAATACGGGGAAATCGAAAGCGCGGCGTATATGCGCACGGGAAACAAGCGCAGGGAAGACAAAGTGACAAGCGACCAGAATGCATCGATCATCGGAAATGCTCGTGAACGTATTACGCTGTGATTTCCGCCGGCGCGATATCGATTGCGATATTCTCTGCGCGTACCCAAAAAACATTTGCGCGCACGTTCGCGACCCCTTTATCGCCCCGAATTTTCCATCGCGGAGGATATTGCCCATAAATCTGTCCTTCGTGAGTTAACCTGATACATACAAACGCGAAAAAATCCTTTTTTTAATATATCGCAACAACATTTCATTTTTTTTAGAACTCAACGTAAATTAATGTTTCCCAAGCGTGAGAAAGTATATATTATATAAAAGTATATAATATTTTGAAGTTCGTTACGTTTACGATCTTTTTTAAATAAATTATAAATAAGATTTACTGAAACAAAAAACCATGTCAAAGAGTAATTAAATTTCAATCATCAAATTTTAAATTACAATTAAACTTCGTATTGACAAAAAGCGAAAAAATTGCAAAAGAGTAAGAAAAAAATTCATTTGTTTGATTTTTCGAAATTATCGCAAATTACGTTTACTCGAAAGAAAGGAAATTGCGGATTAATAATTATAAATTAAACTATAAACATTTATCAATTAAATAACATGTTTAAATCCATGGCACACAGTGCAGCGAAGAGAATATCTATAAAAATGAATAATGTAGGATAAGAAGGAATTGTGACACCGTGTTGTCATAACGACAGAAACGATTTGTATGCTGTTGTGCACGATCGATCTTATTGTCAGTCGAGAATTGTCGAAGATGTCGATGCAGGTGGTGCAACACGTGCGACGATACCGCTAATGCATTTCGCGACACACACATCCGTCGTCATGACAAGGTTACGTCTTCTGCTTAAGCAAAGAGAATCACCAGGATTCGGTTACGCATTTACACATTTATGGAATATCGATTTTCGACAGCGCACGGCGCCGCGCCGGCGAGAAATTATTCATATATTCGTCGTCGGCGAGACGTGCCCAAGGGTTGTCCGCGTCAAAGCCACGCGAAATTGTGCTAGATAGGTCGATGCGCGCGGGCAAGAAGCAGGGGGCAAAAAGAGCAAATTGAAAGTAACCTCTCTCTTGTTGTCGGGCAAATTTTTAACTTTTGTACAGGGCGATGCGCGGGACACACGGCGGAAGTTCGCGCGGAAAGTTGCGAGGGCGAGTCTTCGCCGGCCAAGTTTTTCGGACGTGAAAAGATTAAGGGGGATATTAACTTCCGAAAGAAGAGCTACAAGATGCGCCGGTATAAAGAAATAAATTTCCGCGAATGGCCGCGAGTTTTGTGCCGAAGCGCCGCGCATGACCCGAAGGGGGTTAAGAACTCGGAACGACCGTAGAAGATATATACAATAATTCATCCCCTTGTCCGAGAAAGGGATTCACATAGGTAAATCCCGCTTGCGGACTTGAGAAATTCGGGCTTATAATTCTTCCGGTAGCCGATGTGTTGTGTGTGTGTGTGTGTATATCAACGTGGGAGAAAATAAAGCACGGGTTATCAGACGGAAAAGAACCTCGCGCGAAACAATGCAAAGATAAATGTCGTTAATTAGAGGTGAAATCTCCGCCGTTCAAAATAGCCGCGTCATCCTTGAAGAGAATGAGAATGTACATCAACGAGAGCGCCTCATGACGGATTACGACGTCAACAGAGGGTCAAAGGGAGAATTTTTTCCAAGCTGCCAGTCACGAAGCTGAGAAATTTAATTACCCGACGGTCGTGTCGCGCTACGAGGACGGCGACGAAAATATTCGCCTCCTTTTTCAGGCG